CAGCACACACACCTCCTCCAGCACACACACACCCTCCCCTCCAGTACACACACCCTCCTCCAGCACACACACCTCCAGTACACACACCCCCTCCAGCACACACACCCTCCTCCAGTACACACACCCCCTCCAGTCACACACACCTCCAGCACACCCTCCTCCAGCACACACACCTCCTCCAGTACACACACCTCTCCAGACACACACCTCCTCCAGCACACACACCCTCCTCCAGTACACACACCCTCCCTCCAGCACACACACCCCCCTCCAGTACACACACCCTCCAGTACACACCCTTCCTCCAGCACACACACCCTCCTCCAGTACACACACCCTCCTCCAGCACACACACCCCTCCCTCTCCAGTACACACACCCTCCCTCCAGCACACACACCTCCAGTACACACACCTCCTCCAGTACACACACACCTCCTCCAGTACACACACCCCTCCCTCCAGCACACACACCCCCTCCCCTCCAGCACACCCTCCCTCCAGCACACACACCCCCTCCAGTACACACACACCCCCTCCAGTACACACACCTCCCCCAGTACACACACCCTCTCCAGCACACACACCTCCCTCCAGTACACACCCCTCCAGTACACACACACACCCTCCTCCAGCACACACACCCTCCAGTACACACACACCCTCCACCCCCTCCAGCACACATCTCCAGTACACACACCCTCCAGTACACACCCCCCTCCAGCACACACACCCTCCCTCCAGCACACACACCCCCTCCAGCACACACCCCTCCCTCCAGTACACACACCCCTCCCTCCAGTACACACACCCCCTCCTCCAGTACACACACACCCTCCAGTACACACACCCTCCAGCACACACACACCCTCCTCCAGGCACACACACCCTCCTCCAGCACACACACCTCCCTCCAGTACACACCCCTCCTCCAGTACACACACACCCCCTCCAGTACACACCTCCAGTCACACACACACCCTCCAGCACACACACCCTCCCTCCAGCACACACACCCCCTCCAGCACACACACACCCTCCTCCAGCACACACACCTCCCCAGCACACACACCCTCCAGCACACACACACCCTCCCTCCAGCACACACCCTCCAGCACACACACACCCTCCAGCACACACACACCCTCCTCCAGCACACACACCCTCCTCCAGCACACACACCCTCCAGCACACACACCCCTCCTCCAGCACACACCACACACCCTCCCTCCAGCACACACACACCCTCCCTCCAGCACACACCCTCCCTCCACACACACCCTCCAGCACACACACACCCTCCCCTCCAGTACACACACACCCCTCCCTCCAGCACACACACACCCTCCTCCAGCACACACACACCCCTCCAGCACACACACCCTCCCTCCAGTACACACACACCCTCCCTCCAGTACACACACCCTCCTCCAGTACACACACCCTCCCTCCTCCAGTACACACACCCCCTCCAGTACACACACCCTCCCTCCAGTACACACACACCCTCCCTCCAGTACACACACCTCCAGCACACACACACACCCTCCCTCCAGTACACACACCCTCCCCCTCCAGCACACACACACTCCCTCCAGCACACACCCTCCCTCCAGTACACACACCCTCCAGTACACACACCCTCCCCCAGCACACACACCTCCAGCACACACACCCTCCAGCACACACACCCTCCTCCTCCAGCACACACACCCTCCAGCACACACACCCTCCCTCCAGCACACACACCCTCCCTCCAGCACACACACCCCTCCTCCAGCACACACACCCTCCAGCACACACACACCTCCTCCAGCACACACACCCTCCTCCAGCACACACACCCTCCAGCACACACACACCCCTCCTCCAGCACACACCTCCAGCACACACACCCTCCAGCACACACACACCTCCAGCACACACACACCCTCCAGCACACACACCTCCTCCAGTACACACACCCTCCAGTACACACCTCCAGTACACACACCCCTCCTCCAGCACACACACCCTCCCTCCAGTCACACACACCCTCTCCAGTACACACACCCTCCTCCAGTACACACACCTCCCCTCCAGCACACACCCCTCCAGTACACACACACCCAGTACACACACACCCCCTCCAGCACACACACCCTCCAGCACACACACCTCCAGCACACACACCCCCTCCAGTACACACACCCTCCTCCAGTACACACACCTCCCCTCCAGCACACACACCCTCCAGTACACACACACACTCCCTCCAGTACACACACCCTCCCCTCCCAGTACACACACACCCTCCAGCACACACACCCTCCAGTACACACACACCCCTCCTCCAGTACACACACCCCTCCAGCACACACACACCCTCCTCCAGTACACACACACCCTCCAGTACACACACACCCCCTCCAGCACACACACCCCCTCCAGTACACACACCCTCCACACACACCTCCTCCAGCACACACACCCTCCAGTACACACACCCTCCTCCAGTACACACACCCTCCAGCACACACACCCTCCTCCAGTACACACACACTCCCTCCAGTACACACATACTCCCTCCAGTACAACAACTATTGTATATAGAGCATTATTATATAACCTATAACAAATATTTTATATAATTTACACTGAGCAAAGGTGTATATACATATATTAACAGATCACACACACACACACACACACACACACACACACACACACACACACACACACACACACACACACACACACACACACACACCCAAATTCAGTTAATTTGATATTTAGTTTGTCGCCTGTCACACGCAAGCACTTTACTCTCACACAGTAACATTTACTCTCACACAGTAACACTTTACTCTCACACAGTAACACTTTACTCTCACACAGTAACACTTTACTCTCACACAGTAACACTTTACTCTCACACAGTAACACTTTACTCTCACACAGTAACACTTTACTTCCCACACAGTAACACTCTACACTCCACTATACAAAACGTTAGCCAACATCATACTACAGGCACAGCACAGTACAGCACAGCACAGTTCAATTCAGTACAGTACAGCATAGAGTAGCAAGTCAGTCTAGCATAGCAAGGCATACAGTACAGTCCAGTTCAGTTCAGTTCTAGTCCAGTACAGCAGAGCACAGCAGTAGCACTGCCACTGAGTTCCCAGTTCGTGCACAGTACAGCACAGTAAACAGCACAGCACAGCAACAGTACAGTACAGCACTGCACAGTACAGCACAGCACAGTACAGCAACAAGTCCCAGTCCAGTACACAGCCAACTGCACCAGTCAGTACGTGCCAGTACCAGCACTGGCACAGCAGCACAGCACAGCACAGCACATGCTGCCAACAGTACAGCACAGTACAGTACAGTACAGTTCAGTCCAGTACAGCACAGCACAGTTTAGTCCATGCTGTACCACAGCAAGGCACAGTACAGCATGTTCAGTACAGTACAGTACAGCACAGTTCAGTTCAGCCAGCATAGCACAGTTGTGCACAGCACAGCACATACAGTACAGCATGCCAGCACAGTACAGTCTTCAGTCTAGCATAGTCTAGCACAGTACAGCATGGTATACAGTTCAGTTCAGCATACAATTCAGCACACAGTACAGTACAGTACAGTCCAGTTCAGTCTACAGCACAGTACAGTACAGCATAGTCCAGTTCAGTACAGCACAGTACAGCACAGTGCACAGTACAGTTCAATTCAGCAGTACAGCATAAGTACAGTACTGTACAGTCAGCACTGGTGTCCAGTACAGCACAGTACAGCACAGCACTGCAACACAGTACAGCACAGCACTGCCAAATGCACAGTCACAGCACAGTTCAGTACAGTACAGTACAGCAGAGGCCACTGGTGCACAGTACAGTCCAAGCCAACAGTACAGTTCACACAGTTCGTGCAACAGCCAACAGCCACACACAGTACACACAGCACACAGTACAGTACAGCACAGTCTCATGCCACACAGCACAGTACAAAGTGCCAGCACAGTACAGTACAGTACAGTTCAGTATTGTATATTATAAAGCTGTTGTCCATCGTATGGAACACTTACCTCCACAAACCGTCTTTTCTATGTACAAATATGTTACAAAAACAGCTCGTGTCCCCTGACCACTCTTGTATCGTCATACCCTGTCTATCATATTTAGTTATTCTCACTTTATAAGTGCCAAGTATTGACACTTTGTTAACTGTTCACACTTTATTACTGCCAAGTGTTCACAATGTATAACTGTTAACTGTTCACACTTTATTAGTGGCGAGTTTTCACACTACACTATATAACTGTTAAGTGTTCACACTTTATAAGTGCCAAGATTTCACAATAAAGTATATAACTGCTAACTGTTTGCACTTTATAAGTGCCAAGTGTTCACACTATATAACTGTTAAGTGTTCACACTCACGTTAAAAGTTAGTTGGGATTGTCTTTAAGTGTTTGTCACCAGTACAGCTGCCGCGGTGCTGTGGGTCACACCGCACTCTCTCTCTTAGACTTCCGCTCCGTGTTGGGGGTGGGCATCTCACTCTCATCTCCTCCCCGGTCCACGCCCTCACCTACCCGTCTCCCTACGTCTCTCTCTTGAGCGTGGAGTCCACTTGACCTGACTCTGAGGGTAAGGAGACTTTGGTTCATGTACTTACAATGATGGTGGTGAGGGGGGGTGGGTGGAGCCCTGAGGAGCTCTGCACCTTCTTAGAGCCCCGTCTGAGGGTCCCTTGGAGGCTCTGTGTCGGGGGATCCTACTGGGTGGAGCAGATGGGCGAGGCTGGCCTGGTACTGGGACAGGTTATACTGGGAGCCGGGGTGTGTGGCAGAAGGACCCAGTGGGCGCCTGGTAGAGGTGAGGGAAGGGTGGTGGGCGGTGTCGACGTAGGCCCTGGGTGGTGGTGCTCCTGGTGGTCAGGTGGAGTGGCAGCCTCCCTCCTGCCGCCTCTACGCCCAGGGTAGAGTAAGACTGACCACTGCCTCCCAGTACCTTGCGGTAGCGTCACCTCTCTTACCTGCGCATAACATGTACAATACAGATACCATGAACACGGCAGAGCTACACCACTACATGTACCAAAAGTTGACGGCACGAAAGTAACCTAACCTAACCTAACCTAACGTAACAAAACAACCTAACGTAACAAAAACCCAACCTAACATAACAAAACCTAACCTAACCTAATCAAACCTAACAAAACCTAACCAAAAGTTACTAGACCAAATCTAATCTAACCAGATATTGATAAGTTTGATAAGTTAACTTTAATGTCACCTTTGTTGAATATTAGTTTTGTGATGTAGATTAAATGACACAGTTAAGGTTATTTTTCTCACCAACAACACTTCCGCTACGATCCTGAGAACATGTAGAGTTTGACTCATATTAACAACCACTTAAAGATGACGAAAGTACACTGAGACACTACTGTAAGTCGACACTATTTCTAAGTGTTGTGACTCTGAACATCTTGAACTAACTTAGGGTAAAGACGAGTGAGCCAATGTTAGCTGAAACTTAATTTAGCTGACTGATGTTAGATGAGACTAGTTAGCTGAGACTGATATTAGTTGAGACTGATAACTAAGACTTTGTGTTTATGGGAAATAGCCCACCCGGCACAGGTCATCGACCCACAACGGCCTTGGGGGAAAAATAAAAAATAGAAAGAAATTAAAAATAGAAAAGTAAAATAATTATATTGTGTTAATTTACACCACTAAGATGGAAACCATCATTTTAAGATAGACAGTGAGAATGGAAACACAGAAGAAGGCAAAGAATTCCAGTTTCGCTGTGTGAGAAAGAAGGAGGTACCCAGCGGGTTATTATAGGTGACCGACATCCACAGAGAATGGGGCACTGCGCAGGACGTGTGTTACGGAGCCCACGGCCTGCTGGCGGTACAGGATGCCAAATCCACCGAACATTGCCCGTTAAAGTACCTGTAAAAGAGAGAGAGGAAGCAACATTGCGAACAGAAAGGAAGAGAGATTATCAACTAAAGGAGGAGAGTTAATAAGACGAAATGCCTTTGATTCCAATCTCATTTAACAGTTGAAGAGCCACTCAGATATGAGAGCAGTACTCCAAGTTAGGGCGAATGAATCCCTTATATACATGAAGCAACTGCTCAGGAGTGAAGTAGCTACGGCCATCCCCAGCTCGGTTCAATGAATTGTTTAGTACCCAAAAGTATATAATGGTAAAATCTTAACGAATATATGTTTACATCAAAAACCTGATTAATAATGTTTTCATTAAAACAGTAAAATAATGAAATAATAAACAGCGAAACGCTTAAATACCAAAGAGTCACCTATCAAAATGGAGATATAATTACCGATGTTTCTGTTACTTTGGGGTATTTAACTATAGCCGTAGGATTTACTTTTCGTTAGTTAGGTTAGGTTAGGTTAGCGAAGTGCATCACGATGGATCTGGAGTTATCTCCTTGTTCACCAATCTTTGGAATTAGCGTTCGCCAATACTGAAAGTTTTTCGCTGTTTATTATTTCAACTTACAAATTATTTTTCAAAATTACACTAAAAATATTATTAAACATGTTTTGTGTATGTGTAACAGATATTAGTTAAGATTTACCCTTTATTTGCTATCTTTGGGCACATTTGGTACATTTGGAATACATTTGGGTAATTGTGGCTCCTTCAGCTTTTAGCTATGTTGAGGATGTGGCTTCCATGACATATGAGAGGAAATGGGAGGCTAGAATATCTATTTGAATTTGGCAGAATCAAAGAGTCTTAAATGTGATTGGTGTAGCTAAGATTAAAGTCCTTACTGACACTAATATCATATGAGAGTATTGACTGAGAACATTATTAGCTGATGGTGTCAGAGTAGATGATTAACTGAGTTAAGATTAGTTAGAATTTACAGTGTACAGTATATGAAAAATAGTAGAGTAAATGTTATGTGAGAAAAAACAGAATAAATTGTAACTAGTTGAGGACAATGATATTAAGTGAGGACAATGATGTTAAGTGAGGACAATGATGTTAAGTGAGGACAATGATGTTAAGTGAGGACAATGATGTTAAGTGAGGACAATGATATTAAGTGAGGACAATGATATTAGCTGAGGACAATGACGTTAGGTGTAACCATGACATTAGCTGAGGAGGCTGATGTTAGGTGAGAATAATGATGTTAGGTGAGGACAATGACATTAGCCGAGGACAATGATGATAGGCGAGGATATTGACATTAGCTGAGGACAATGATGTTAAGTGAGGACAATAATATTAGGTGAGGACAACGACGTTAGTTTAGGTGACCCTCGACATCTCCAAGGCATTTGACAGGGTATGGCACAAGTCTTTGCTTTCTAAACTTCCCTCTTTGGTTTCTCCTCCACTTTGTTATCTAATCTCTAGCTTCCTTGAGAACCGATCCATGGCAGTTGTTGTCGAGGGATCGATCTCTCGCTCTTTCTCTACCAATAGTGGTGTCCCACAGGGTTCTGTTCTTCACTTTCCTCTTCCTTCTTTTACTAATAATTTACTCACACTACAACTAAAGGTGTCTCCAGCTGGGGATGCTGTACAGATGCCGTAGCTACTTCCACCTGAGCAGTTGCTTCAAGTATATAAGGGATTCATTCGTCCTAACTTGGAGTACTGCTCTCATATCTGGGGTAGTCTCTTCTTCTATCAACTGTTAGATAGGTGGCATCAAAGGCATTTCGTCTCATTAACTCTCCTCCTTTAGTTGATAATTTTTTCCTTTCTCTTCGCTGCAATGTTGCTTCACTCTCTTTTTACAGGTACCTTAACGGACAATGTTCGGATTTGGCATCCTGGTACCGCCGGCAAGGCCGTGGGCTCGTAACACACGTCTTGCCGCGGTGCCCACCGCTTCTGTGTGATGTCGGTCACACTAGAATAACCCGTTAGAGTACATCCTTCTTCTCACACAGCCAAACTGTGGAATGCTCTTGCCTTCTTCTGTGTTTCCACACTATACAATCTGTCTCACTTTAAAAGATGGTTTCCGGCATCTCGTGGTGTAGATTAATATAACCTTTTTCTTTTCTATAATTTCTTTTACTCTTATTTTTCGCCTCCCAGGCCGATGTGGGTGATGACTGTGCCTGGGTGGCTATTTCCCGTAAAAACAAAGAAAAGAATGAGAACAATGATACAATAATGTTAGCTGAGGACAATGATGTACTAGCATGTCTTTTGTTAGGTGTACAAGTGAGAGATACGACTAACGCGGGGTGTTGCCGCAAATACTACCTGAATATTCTCTTATGTCTGCCAACACACTTATGTCAAGTTGAGGGTGTTGTTGTTTGACGACGCAACAGATCAGCATCACTCCTTGTATCAGTAATTGAGCTGTCCCTGGCTTGATGGGAGAAGGTGGACTCGCACTGTAGCTCACCTCCATAGCACGTTTCTTCATAAGCTGGCCCTTTACAATTTACCAACCATAATACAACTGTATTTGTACATGACACATTTTAACATCCATGAAGAAAACCAGAAAGAATTGACTTGATAGACACTCAGGTTAGCTGCAAGATTGGGTTCCCTGCCCTGCTGTGTCTCCTGTGTGACCCATGTCTCGCTGTGTTCTGTATGTGACCCATGTCTCGCTGTGGCTCCTGTATGACCCATGTCTCACTGTGTCTCCTGTATGTGACCCATGTCTCACTGTGTCTCCTGTATGTGACCCATGTCTCGCTGTGTCTGTATGTGACCCATGTCTCTGCTGTGTCTCCTGTATGTGACCCATGTCTCGCTGTGGCTTCTGTATGTGACCCATGCCTCGCTGTGTCTCCTGTGTGGACCCATGTCTCACTGGTTCCTGTATGTGACCCATGTCTACTGTGCTCCTGTATGTGACCCATGTCTCTGCTGTTCTGTATGTGACCCATGTCTCGCTGTGTCTCCCTGTATGACCCATGTCTCGCTTGTGGCTCCTGTATGTGACCCATGTCTCACTGGTGTTCTGTATGTGACCCATGTCTCGCTGTGGCTCCTGTATGGACCCATGTGTCTCTGCCGGTTCTGTATGTGACCCATATCTCGCTGTTCCGTATGTGACCCATGTCTCGCTTGTGTCTCCTGTATGTACCCATGTCCCGCTGTGTCTCTGTGTGTGACCCATGTCTTGCTGTGTCTCCTGTATGTGACCCATGTCTCGCTGTGTCTCCTGTATGTGACCCATGTCTGCTGTGGCTCCTGTATGTGACCCATGTCTCACTGTGTTCTGTATGTGACCCATGTCTCGCTGTGGTCTGTATGACCCATGTCTGTGGCTCCTGTATGTGACCCATGTCTCGCTGTGGCTCCTGTATGTGACCCATGCCCGCTGTCTCCTGTGTGTGACCCATGTCTCGTGTGGTTCTGTATGTGACCCATGTCTCCTGTGTCTCCTGTATGTGACCCATGTCTCGCTGTGTCTCCTGTATGTGACCCATGTCTCGCTGTGTCTCCTGTATGTGACCCATGTCTCGCTGTGGCTCCTGTATGTGACCCATGTCTCACTGTGTCTCCTGTATGTGACCCATGTCTCGCTGTGGCTCCTGTATGTGACCCATGTCTCGCTGTGGCTCCTGTATGTGACCCATATCTCTCTGTGTGTCTCCGTATGTGACCCATGTCTCGCTGTGTCTCCTGTATGTGACCCATGTCTCGCTGTGTCTTGTGTGACCCATGTCTCGCTGTGTCTCCTGTATGTGACCCATGTCTCGCTGGCTCCTGTATGTGACCCATGTCTCACTGTGTCTCCTGTATGTGACCCATGTCTTGCTGTGTCTCCTGTATGTGACCCATGTCTCGCTGTGTCTCCTGTATGTGACCCATGTCTCGCTGTGTCTCCTGTATGTGACCCATGTCTCTGTGTGTCTCCTGTATGTGACCCATGTCTTGCAGCTGAAGACATGGTGCACCAATCTGCCAAAGGTCTGAGACACTCTCATCTCTTCATCGATGCCCGCGGTGGTGGGCAGGTGGGAACTAAGGTACTGGAGGTGGGTCGTGGTGGTGGGCAGGTGGGAGCAAGGTACTGGAGGTGGGTCACAGTGGTGGGCAGGTGGAGCCATTGTTACTGGAGGTGGGTCGTGGTGGTGGGCAGGTGGAAGCCAAGGTACTGGAGGTGGGTGCAGGTGGTGGGCAGGTGGAAGCCATTGTGCTGGAGGTGGGTGGTTGGTGGGGTGGGTGGGAGCCAAGGTACTGGGGTGGTCATGGTGATGGGCAGGTGGAAGCCATTGTGTCTGGAGGTGGGTCGTGGTGGTGGTAGGTGGGGAGCCAGGTACTGGAGGTGGGTCGCAGTGGTCAGGTGGAACCACTGTATGGAGGTGGGTCGCGTGGTGGGCAAGTGGGAGCCAAGGTACTGGAGGTGGGTCATGATGGTGGGTGAAGCCATTGTACTGGAGGTGGGTCGTGGTGGTGGGCAGGTGGGAGCCAAGGTGCTGGAGGTGGGTGTGTGGTGGGCAGGTGGGAGCCAAGGTACTGGAGGTGGGTCACGGTGGTGGGCAGGTGGAAGCCATTGTACTGGAGGTGGGTCGTGGTGGTGGGCAGGTGGGAGCCAAGGTGCTGGAGGTGGGTCGTGGTGGTGGGCAGGTGGGAGCCAAGGTACTGGAGGTGGGTAACAGTAGAGGGGGTGGTCCCATCAACTCGGGCGTCTGTTGTAGGTGAGGCTGAAGGCCGTGCGGGCTGGAACAGAATCTATGTCTTGTGTCGTTCACATCAAGGCTGAAGTGTGAAGAGTCTGTGTAGGTGTTCAGGATCTCCTGTAGGTCGCGTTCAGTGTGAGCGACGAGGGTGAGGTCGTCTGCATACTGAAGTTCAGTAATGGAAGCTGTCGACACCTTTGTTCCTGCCTGGAGGCGTCTTATGTTGAAAAATCCCTTCATCTGGTAATAGATGTCCACCCCGCTGGCTAAATTGGCGCTGGCACGAGTAAGGAAGGCAGACTAGAAAATGGAAAAGAGAGTTGGAGCCAGTACACACCCTTGTTTATCCCCTGTTTGGATGGGGAAGAACTCAGACTGGGTGCTATTGTGCAGGACAATGCTGTTCATGCTATCGTGAAGTTGCCTCACAATGACGATGAAATTTGGTAAGCAACCTAAACGACTGCACTTTTCTTGTATGTGGCGGGCAGCAAAGATCATTTCAGTGGTCCAAGAGATCGTCTCAAAGCCACACTGAGACTCCGGGAGAAGTTTTCCGCCTCAGGAAGAAGACTGTTAAAGAGGACTCGGGCGAGAATCTTGCCAGCTATGGACAGCAGCATAATCCCGCTGTAGTTGTTGCTGGATAACACGAAAATGAAAAACATTTGAGATAGGAGACTGAAACAAATTTTATCTTAGAGGAAAATTACCTTACTTTAGTGAATAATGTGTTATGTTTAGGAAACTTCTTACTTCGGGGATAATATTGTTATTATGTGCGGGAGAAAGTGTTACCTGCGGCTGCTGGGAGTCATGGAAGTAAGGCACGTGTGATACAGCAGCAGCCTGGGGGCCGTGGAGGGCCTCAGAACACACCAGTTGTGTGTACTCCGCCCCGCCCACCTGTCAAGCAGAGAACACCTGTTTAGTTGACGCCCCTGGCACACTGTGCGGTGATTGGTTGGCAGACTGTGCGGTGATTGTTTGGCAGACTGTGCGGTGATTGGTTGGCAGACTGTGCGGTGATTGTTTGGCAGACTGTGCGGTGATTGTTTGGCAGACTGTGCGGTGATTGTTTGGCAGACTGTGTAGTGATTGGTTGGCAGACTGTGTAGTGATTGGTTGGCAGACTGTGTAGTGATTGGTTGGCAGACTGTGTGGTGATGGGTTGGCAGACTGTGTGGTGATTGGTTGGCAGACTGTGTGGTGATTGGTTGGCATATTGTCCATTACAGTAGTGGGTGTCTGCCATACACTACAGTGTGGGGAACCTACTATGGCAGTGGATGACCTACCATTTCAGGGGCTGACCTACCATTTCAGGGGCTGACCCATATAGAGGATGACACCATTTCAGGGCTGACCTACCATTTCAGGGGCTGACCTACCATTTCAGGGGCTGACCCTGCATTTCAGGGCTGACCTACCATTTCAGGGGCTGACCTACCATTTCAGGGCCTGACCTACCATTTCAGGGCTGACCTACCATTTCAGGACTGACCTACCATTTCAGGGGCTGACCTACCATTTCAGGGCTGACCTACCATTTCAGGGGCTGACCTACCATTTCAGGGGCTGACTTACCATTTCAGGGGTTGACTTCATTTCAGGGGCTGACCTACCATTTCAGGGGCTGACCTACCATTTCAGGGGCTGACCTACCATTTCAGGGGTGACCTACCATTTCAGGGGCTGACCTACCATTTCAGGGGCTGACCTACCATTTCAGGGGTGACCTACCATATTAGAGATGACCATTGACCTACCATTTCAGGGGCTCACTACTTCATTTCAGGGCTGACCTACCATTTCAGGGCTGACTACCATTTCAGGGGCTGACTTACCATTTCAGGGTTGACCTACCATTTCAGGGGGTTGACTTACCATTTCAGGGCTGACCTACCATTTCAGGGGCTGACCTACCATTTCAGGGGCTGACCTACCATTTCAGGGGCTGACCTACCATTTCAGGGGCTGACCTACCATTTCAGGGGCTGACCTACCATTTCAGGGGCTGACCTACCATTTCAGGGGCTGACCTACCATTTCAGGGGCTGACCTACCATTTCGGGGCTGACCTACCATTTCAGGGGCTGACCTACCATTTCAGGGGCTGACCTACCATTTCAGGGGCTGACCTACCATTTCAGGGCTGACCTACCATTTCAGGGCTGACCTACCATTTCAGGGGCTGACCTACCATTTCAGGGGCTGACCTACCAATTTCAGGGGCTGAGCTGCCATTTCAGGGGCTGACCTACCATGTTACAGGCTGACCTACAATTTCAGGGGCTGAGCTGCCATTTCAGGGGCTGACCTACCATGTTACAGGCTGACCTACCAATTTCAGGGGCTGAGCTGCCATTTCAGGGGCTGACCTACCGTGGCAGAGGTTGCGGCAGGGGCGGCACAGGAGGAGGCAGGGTAGGTCGGGCCTCCATTATGCAGGAAGAAGGAGGACGATGCCGATATTGTGGCTATCTCAGCACAGTGTTCCTCCTGACACTCTGTGGGGTCTGTGGGGTGAGAAACACTACACTGGGGGTGAAAACACTACACTGTGGGGTGAGAAACACTACACTGTGGGGTGAGAAACACTACACTGTGAGGTGAGAAACACTACACTGTGAGGTGCACACTACACTGTGAGGTGAGAAACACTACACTGTGAGGTGAGAAACACTACACTGTGAGGTGAGAAACACTACACTATATATCTCACACCTGAACTCACCTGTCATAATATATTTGGGATAATTGAATAGCTCTTTTGGCTATTCAGCTCACTTGTGGTCAGTAAAACTCAACTGGGGTCGGTAATTAGCTCACCGGGGTCAGTAATTTGTTCATCTGATGTTAGTAATTAGCTCACCCGGGGTCAACTAATTAGCTCACCCGGAGTCAGTAACTAGCTCACCTGGGGTCAGTAACTAGCTCACCTGGGGTATGAGAGATGAGGTCAGGGTTACGGTCGTCAGGTGGGGAGGCCTCTGACGGGAGGCCAGTGGAGGCGCCGTCCTTACTGTGGGTGAGCAGCCTCCCTCCTCCCTCCGCCGCCAGATCTCCTCAACAACCGTAACCACAGCAGCGCCGCCATGACCCCCACCAAACACACTGCCGCCAAGCCGCCACTCACAGCTATCATCAAGGGCGCCCCAGAGCCTCTGTCCCTATCCTCAGGCTCTGTGTGTAAATCAGAACGTTGTGTACATATGGGGCTGGGTACACACACACACACACACATACATGCACACACACACAGACGCACCAGCTGGGAACAATGCTGCCTTAAATGACAGTGTGTGTGTGACTGATAGTGAGGGTAGTGTGTGGTGACTGATAGTGAGGGTAGTGTGTGATGACTGATAGTGAGGGTAGTGTGTGGTGACTGATAGTGAGGGTAGTGTGTGGTGACTGATAGTGAGGGTAGTGTGTGGTGACTGATAGTGAGGTAGTGTGATGACTGATAGTGGGGTAGTGTGTGGTGACTGATAGTGAGGTGGTGTGTGATGACTGATAGTGAGGTGCTGTGGTGACTGATGGTGAGGGTAGTGTGTGGTGACTGATAGTGGGGTGCTGTGTGGTGACTGATGGTGAGGGTGGTGTGATGTGATGGTGGTGGTGTGTGATGATGGTGGGGGTGGTGTGTGGTGTGGGTGAGGGTGGTGTGTGATGACTGATGGGGTGGTGTGTGGTGATGGTGGGGGTAGTGTGTGATGGTGATGGTGTGGGGTGGTGTGTGGTGACTGAGGTGAGGTGGTGTGTGATGGACTGATGTGAGAGGTGGTGTGTGGTGATGGTGAGGGGTAGTGTGGTGACTGATGTTGAGGGTGGTGTGATGGCTGATAGTGAGGGTGTGTGGTGATGGTGAGGTGTGTGGTGACTGATGGTGAGGGTGTGTGTGTGATGACTGATAGTGAGGTAGTGTGTGGTGACTGATAGTGAGGGTGGTGTGTGGTGGCTGATGGTGAGGGTGTGGTGGCTGATGGTGGTGTGGGGGCTGATGGTGGGGTGGTGTGGTGACTGATAGTGAGGGTGGTGAGGGCTGATGGTGTGAGGTGAAAGTGATGACAGTGAGGGTAGAACGGCTGACGGTGAGGGTAAGTGATGACAGTGAGGGTAAGTGACTGATAGTTGAAGGTGAAGTGACCTACAGAGTGAGGATTAAGTGACTGATGGTGTGGGTAAGTGACTGACTGGTGAGGGTGCTGACAGTGTGGGTTGAAAGTAGGCTGACAGTGAGTTAAGTGACTGACAGTGTGGGTAGGTGACTGACAGTGAGGGAGTAAATCTGTGAGGTGAGTGATGACAGTGAGGGTGAAATTGATGACAGTGAGGTTGAAGTGACTGACAGTGAGGTGAAGTGACTGACAGTGAGGTGCGTGAGCCTACAGTGAGAGTGAAGTGACCGTGGTGAGTGGTGACTGACAGTGAGGGTAGATGATGGTGAGGTGGGGGAGGCTGACAGTGGGGTTAAGTGACTGACAGGGTGAGATAAGTGACCTAGTGGGGAGGGTGAAGTGACTGATAGTGTGGGTAAGTGATGACAGTGAGGGTGGAAAGTGACTGATGGTGTGGGTAAAGTGACTGCAGTGAGGGTAAGTGACCTACAGTGAGGGTTAAGTGACTGACAGTGAGGGTAAGTGACTGACAGTGTGGAAGAGCTGACAGTGTGGGTAAGTGACTGGCTGGTGAGGGTAAGTGAGCCTACAGTGAGGGTAAGTGACTGGTGAGGTTAGAGTGACCTGGTGAGGGTAAGTGACTGACAGTGAGGTGAAGTGACTGACAGTGAGGTAGAAGTAACCTGGTGAGGTTAAGTGACTGACAGTGAGGAAAATGGCTGATAGTTGAGGTAAGTGACTGACAGTGAGGGTAAGTGACTGACAGTGAGGTGAAGTGACTACAGGTGAGGGTAAGTGACTGAGCAGGTGGTTAAGTGACCTGGTGAGGGTGACCAGTGGTGGGCTGACAGTGTGGGTGAAGTGACTGACAGTGTGGGTAATGACTGACAGTGGGGTGAAGTGACTGACAGTGGGTAAGTGACTGACAGTGAGGGTAAGTGATGACTGACAGTGGAGTGGGGGACTGACAGTGGGGTGGAGTGACTGACAGTGAGGGGTAAGTGATGACGGTGTGGGTAAGTGACTGACAGTGGGGGTAGTGACCTACAGTGAGGGTAACTGACTGACAGTGTGGGTAAGTGACTGACAGTGGTGAAGTGACTGACAGTGAGGGTAAGTGACTGACAGTGGTAGTGTGCAGTGAGTAAGTGACTGGTGAGGGTGAAGTGACTGACAGTGTGGGTAGAATGACTGACAGTGAGGGTAAGTGACTGACAGTGGGAGGTAAGTGACTGACAGTGTGGGTAAGTGGCTGATGGTGAGGTAAGTGACTGACAGTGAGGTGGTGACTGACAGTGAGGTAAGTGACCTAGTGAGAATGACTGACAGTGTGGGTAAGTGATGAGATAAGTGACTGACAGTGTGGGTAAGTGATGATGGTGAGGTAAGTGACCTGTGGGGGTAAGTGACCTACAGTGAGGTGAAGTGACCTATGAGGTAAGTGACTGACAGTGAGGTAGTGACTGACAGTGGGTAAAGTGACTGACAGTGAGGGTAAGTGACTGACAGTGAGGGTAAGTGACTGACAGTGAGGGTAAGTGACCTACAGTGAGGGTAAGTGACTGATAGTGAGGGTGGTGACCTACAGTGAGGGTAAGTGACTGACAGTGAGGTAAGTGACTGACAGTGAGGGTAAGTGATGACAGTGGGTAAGTGATGACAGTGAGGGTAAGTGACTGACAGTGAGGGTAAGTGACTGACAGTGAGGGTAAGTGACCTACAGTGTGGGAGTGATGACTGATAGTGAGGGTGACTGACAGTGAGGGTAAGTGACTGACAGTGAGGTGAGTGAGTGACAGTGAGGGCAGTGTAGTTGTATACTGACCAGCACTCGTCTCCTCCTGGGTCTCTGGTATTCTGACAGTATAAGCCTGGCTCGGTGACCCTGGAGGCGCCCTTGTCGTTGATGGCAGCGATGATGATCTTGTAAGCGGTGGGTCGGGAGGTTGGGGACACTGAAGGAGGAGAGCCCACGACTCTCCTCCACTAGCGGAGACGTTATTCCTGCCACACCTGTGGGAGGAGACAGTGAGTGGTAGTTGTGGATGAAGAGGTTTAATAGTACCTGAAGGAGTGGATGAAGAGGTTTAATAGTACCTGAAGGAGTGGATGATGAGGTTTAACAGTACCTGAAGGAGTGGATGATGAGGTTTAACAGTACCTGAAGGTGTGGATGAAGAGGTTTAACAGTACCTGAAGGTGTGGATGAAGAGGTTTACAATTCCTGAAGGTGGATGGGTTTACGACCTGGGGGGATGAAGGGTTTAACGAGCACAGGAAGGGTGGATGAAGAGGTTTAACAGTACCTGAAGGTGTGGATGAAGTGGTTTAACAGTACCTGAAGGAGTGGATGATGAGTTTAACAGTCCTGAAGAATTGGATGAAGAGGTTTAACAGTACCTGGAAGAGTGGATGATGAGGTTTAACAGTACCTGAAGGAGTGGATGAAGAGTTTAGTACCTGAAGGAGTGGATGAAGGTTAACAGTACCTGAAGGTGGATGAAGGACAGTACCTGAAGGAGTGGATGAAGAGGTTTAACAGTACCTGAAGGAGTGGATGAAGAGGTTTAACAGTACCTAAGGTGTGGTGAAATTTACGCTGAAGGTGTGGATGAAGAGGTTTAACAGTACCTGAAGGTGTGGATGAAGAGGTTTAACAGTACCTGAGGTGGATGAGAGGTTTAAGAGGAATTGGATGAGAGGTTTAACAGTACTGAAGGTGTGGGATGAAGAGGTTTAACAGTACCTGAAGGTGTGGGATGAAGAGGTTTAACAGTACCTGAAGGTGTGGATGAAGAGGTTTAACAGTACCTGAAGGAGTGGATGAAGTTTACAGTACCGAGGGTGGATGAGAGGTTTACAGTCCTGAAGGTGGGATGAAGAGGTTTAACAGTACCTGAAGGGAGTGGATGAAGAGGTTTAACAGTACCTGAAGGTGTGGATGAAGAGGTTTAACAGTACCTGAAGGTGTGGATGAAGAGGTTTAACAGTACCTGAAGGGTGGATGAAGAGGTTTAACAGTACCTGAAGGATTGGATGAAGAGGTTTAACAGTACCTGAAGAGTGGATGAAGGTTTAGCAGTACCTAAGGTGTGGATAGAGGTTTAACAGTACCTGAAGGTGTGGATGAAGAGGTTTAACAGTACCTGAAGGTGTGGATGAAGAGTTTAACAGTACCTGAAGGTGTGGATGAAGGTTTAACAATTACCTGAAGGTGTGGATGAAGAGGTTTAACAGTACTGGAGTGTGGATGAAAGGTTTAACAGACCTGAAGGAGTGGATGAAGAGGTTTAACAGTACCTGAAGGAGTGGATGAAGAGGTTTAACAGTACCTGAAGGTGTGGATGAAGAGGTTTAACAGTACCTGAAGGTGGATGAAGAGGGTTTAACAGTACCTGAAGGAGTGGATGAAGAGGTTTAACAGTACCTGAAGGTGTGGATGAAGAGGTTTAACAGTACCTGAAGGTGTGGATGAAGAGGTTTAACAGTACCTGAAGGGTGGATGAAGAGGTTTAACAGTACCGAAGGAGTGGATGAAGAGGTTTAACAGTACCTGAAGGAATGGATGAAGAGGTTTAACAGTACCTGAAGGGTGGATGAAGAGGTTTAACAGTACTGAAGGTGTGGATGAAGAGGTTTAACAGTACCTGAAGGTGTGGATGAAGAGGTTTAACAGTACCTGAAGGTGTGGATGAAGAGGTTTAACAGTACCTGAAGGTGTGTGGATGAAGAGGTTTAACAGTACCTGAAGGTGTGGATGAAGAGGTTTAACAGTACCTGAAGGTGTGGATGAAGAGGTTTAACAGTACCTGAAGGTGTGGATGAAGAGGTTTAACAGTACCTGAAGGTGTGGATGAAGGGTTTAACAGTACCTGAAGGAGTGGATGAAGGTTTAACAGTACCTGAAGGAGTGGATGAAGAGGTTTTAACAGTACCTGAAGGTGTGGATGAAGAGGTTTAACAGTACCTGAAGGAGTGGATGAAGAGGTTTAACAGTACCTGAAGGTGTGGATGAAGAGGTTTAACAGTACCTGAAGGTGGATGAAGAGGTTTAACAGTACCTGAAGGAGTGGATGAAGAGGTTTAACAGTACCTGAAGGGTGGATGAAGAGGAAGTACCTGAAGGGGATGAAGGTTTAACAGTAGCTGAAGGTGTGGATGAACAGGTTTAACAGTACCTGAAGGAGTGGATGAAGAGGTTTAACAGTACCTGAAGGTGGATGAAGAGGTTTACAGTACCTGAAGGTGTGGATGAAGGGTTTAACAGTACCTGAATGAGAGGGTGGATGAAGGGTTTCACAGTACCTGAAGGAGGAAGTTCTGGGTCAGGCCTCGTCATCACCAGCCAGACACGTCACCTGCAGGGAGCTGATGGTGACGTCATACACCCGGCAGTTGTGGTGGGTCAGGCTTACCTGTACAAGTGTGCTACATGTTAGTCTACAGGTGTTAGTATACTATCAACAGGTGTTAGTATACTACATACAGGTGTTAGTATACTATCTACAGGTGTTAGTATACTACATACAGGTGTTAGTATACTACATACAGGTGTTAGTATACTACATACAGGTGTTAGTATACTACATACAGGTGTTAGTATACTACATACAGGTGTTAGTATACTATCTACAGGTGTTAGTATACTACATACAGGTGTTAGTATACTACATACAGGTGTTAGTATACTACATACAGGTGTTAGTATACTACATACAGGTGTGTGTCTCTTACAGGTGTTAGTATACCTATCTACAGGTGTTAGTATACACATGCAGAGTAGTATACTACATACAGGTGTTAGTATACTACTTACAGATGTTAGTATACTATCTACAGGTGTTAGTACACTATCTACAGTGTTAGTATACTACATACAATTTGTATACTACAGAGTGTTAGTATACTATCTACAGGTGTTAGTATACTACATACAGCTGTTAGTATCTACAAACAGGTGTTAGTATACCATACAGGTGTTAGTATACTACATACAGTGTTAATATACAATCTACAGGTGTTAGTATACTATCTACATGTAGTATACTACATACAGGTGTTAGTATACTACATACAGGTGTTAGTGTACTATCTACAGGTGTTAGTATACTACATACAGCTGTTAGTATACTACATACAGGTGTTAGTATACTACATACAGGTGTTAGTATACTAGTGTTAGTATACTACATACATATTAATATATCATTATACTACATACAGGTGTTAGTATACTCTACATTGTTATACTACATACAGGTGTTAATACTACATACAGGTGTTAGTATACTACATACAGGTGTTAGTATACTATCTACAGGTGTTAGTATACTACATACAGGTGTTAGTATACAATCTACAGGTGTTAGTATACTACTTACAGGTGTGAGTATACTACAGACAGGTGTTAGATACTATCTATAGGTGCTAGTATACTGTCTACACTTGTTAGTATACTATCTAGGTGTTAGTATACTACTTACAGGTCTTAGTATACTATCTACAGGTGTTAGTATAATACTTACAGGTGTTAGTATACTACTTACAGGTGTTAATATACTACTTACAGGTGTTAGTATACTACTTACAGGTGTTAGTATACTATCTACAGGTGTTAGTATACTGCATACAGGTGTTAGTATACTATCTACAGGTGTTAAAATGCTACATAAAGGTGTTAGTATACTATCTACAGGTGTTTGTATAATACTTACAGGTGTTAGTATACTATCTACAGGTATTAGTATACAGTCTACAGGTGTCAGTATACTGTCTACAGGTGTCAGTATACTATCTACAGGATTTAGTATACTATCTACAGGTGTTAGTATACTACATACGAATGTGAGTATACTACATACAGGTGTTAGGATACTATCTATAGGTGTTGTATACTGTCTACACTTGTTAGTATACTATCTAGAGATGTTAGTACTATCTACAGTTGTTAGTATACTATCTGCAGGTGTTTAGTATACTACATAGGTGTTGGGATACTATCTATAGGTGTTAGTATACTGTCTACACGTGTTAGTATACTATCTAGTTTGTTAATATACTACACACAGTGTTAGTATACTATCTATAGGTGTTAGTATACTATCTACAGGTGTTAGTATACTACATACAGGTGTTAGTATATTATCTACAGGTGTTAGTATATATCTACAGTGTTAGTATACTACATACAGGTGTTAGTATACTATCTATAGGTGTTAGTATACTACTTACAGGTGTTAGTATACTATCTGCAGGTGTTAGTATACACATACAGGTGTTAGTATACATACAGAGTGTTAGTATACTATCTACAGGTGTTAGTATACTATCTACAGGTGTTAGAATACTATCTACAGGTGTTAGTATACTGTCTCTACAGGTGTTAGTATACATCTACAGGTGTCAGTATACTATCTACAGGTGTTAGTATAATATCTACAGGTGCTAGTATACTATCTGGTGTTAGTATACTGTCTACAGGTGTTAGTATACTGTACAGGTGTCAGTATACTATCTACAGGTGTTAGTATACATCACACAGGTGTTAGTATACTATCTACAGGTGTTAAAATACTCTCTACAGGTGTTAGTATACTGTCTACAGGTGTTAGTATACTGTCTACAGGTGTCAGTATACTATCTACAGGTGTTAGTATATATACAGGTCTAGTATACTATCTACAGGTGTTAGTATATTACTTATAGTGTTAGTATAAAATTTACAGGTGTCAGTATAGAACTTACAGGTGTTAGTATAATACTTACAGGTGTTAGTATACTACTTACAGGTGTTAATATACTACTTACAGGTGTTAGTATACTACTTACAGGTGTTAGTATACTATCTACAGGTGTTAGTATACTGCATACAGGTGTTAGTATACTATCTACAGGTGTTAAAATGCTACATAAAGGTGTTAGTATACTATCTACAGGTGTTTGTATAATATACAGGTGTGTATACTATCTACAGGTATTAGTATACAGTCTACAGGTGTCAGTATACTGTCTACAGTGTCAGTATACTATCTACAGGATTTAGTATACTATCTACAGGTGTTAGTATACTACATACAGGGTGGTATACTACATACAGGTGTTAGGATACTATCTATAGGTGTTAGTATACTGTCTACACTTGTGTGTATATCTAGAGGTGTTAGTACTATCTACAGTTATTAGTATACTATCTACAGGTGTTAGTATACAAATGTTAGGATACTATCTATAGGTGTTAGTATACTGTCTACACGTGTTAGTATACTACATACAGGTGTTAGGATACTATCTATAGGTGTTAGTATACTGTCTACGTGTTAGTATACTATCTACGTTTGTTAATATACACATACAGGTAGTATATTATCTACAGGTAGTATATTATCTACAGGTGTTAGTATACTACATACAGGTGTTAGTATACTATCTATAGGTGTTAGTATACTACTTACAGGTGTTAGTATACTATCTACAGGTGTTAGTATACTACATACAGGTGTTAGTATACTACATACAGGTGTTAGTATACTATCTACAGGTGTTAGTATACTACTTACAGGTGTTAGTATACTATCTACAGGTAGTATACTATATACTGGTGTAAATACAATCTAAGGTGTTAGTATGCTACATACAGGTGTTAGTATACTATCTACAGGTGTTACTATACTATCTACAGGTGTTAGAAGATACTTACAGGTGTTAGTATACTATCTACAAGTGTTAGTATATTATTTACAGGTGTTAGTATACTATCTACAGGTGTTAGTATACTATCTACAGGTGTTAGTATACTATCTACAAGTGTTAGTATATTGTCTACAGGTGTCAGTATACAGTCTACAGGTGTCATTATACAATCTACAGGTGTTAGTATACTATTCTACAGGTGTTAGTATACTGTCTACAGGTGTTAGTATACTGTCTACAAGTGTTAGTATACTATCTACAGGTGTTAGTATACTACTTACAGGTGTTCTTATACTATCTACAGGTGTTAGTATACTGTCTACAGGTGTTAGTATACTGTCTACAGGTGTCGTATACTATCTACAGGTGTTAGTATACTATCTACAGGTGTTAGTATACTATCTACAGGTGTTAGTATACTGTCTACAGGTGTTAGTATACTGTCTACAGGTGTCAGTATACTATCTACAGGTGTTAGTATACAACACACAGGTGTTAGTATACTATCTACAGGTGTTAGAATACTCTCTACAGGTGTTAGTATACTGTCTACAGGTGTTAGTATACTGTCTACAGGTGTCAGTATACTATCTACAGGTGTTAGTATACTACTTACAGGTCTTAGTATACTATCTACAGGTGTTAGTATACTACTTACTGGTGTTAGTATAAAATTTACAGGTGTCAGTATAGAACTTACAGGTGTTAGTATACTACTTAGAGGTGTTAATATACTACTTACAGGTGTTAGTATACTACTTACAGTGTTAGTATACTATCTGGTGTTAGTATACTGCATACAGGTGTTAGTATACTATCTACAGGTGTTAATACTTTACATAAGGTGTTAGTATACTATCTACAGGTGTTTGTATAATACTTACAGGTGTTAGTATACTACCTACAGGTATTAGTACAGTCTAAGTGTCAGTATACTATCTACAGGATTTAGTATACTATCTACAGGTGTTAGTATACTACATACAGGTGTGAGTATACTACATACAGGTGTTAGGATACTATCTATAGGTGTTAGTATACTGTCTACACGTGTTAGTATACTATCTAGAGGTGTTAGTACTATCTACAGTTGTTAGTATACTATCTACAGGTGTTAGTATACTACATACAGGTGTTAGGATACTATCTATAGGTGTTAGTATACTGTCTACACGTGTTAGTATACTATCTACGTTTGTTAGTATACTACATACAGGTGTTAGTATATTATCTACAGGTGTTAGTATATTATCTACAGGTGTTAGTATACTACATACAGGTGTTAGTATACTATCTATAGGTGTTAGTATACTACTTACAGGTGTTAGTATACTATCTACAGGTGTTAGTATAATACTTACAAGTGTTAGTATACTACTTACAGGTGTCAGTATACTACTTACAGGTGTTAGTATACTACTTACAGGTGTCAGTATACTACTTACAGGTGTTAGTATACTATCTACAGGTGTTAGTATACTACTTACAGGTGTTAGTATACTCTCTACAGGTGTTAGTATACTACTTACAGGTGTTAGTATACTCTCTACAGGTGTTAGTATACTACTTACGGTGTCAGTATACTACTTACAGGTGTTAGTATACTATCTACAGGTGTTAGTATACTACTTACAGGTGTTAGTATACTATCCACAGGTGTTATTCTACTTACTGGTGTTAGATTAATATTTACATGTGAGAGTATACTACTTGAAGGTTGTCAGTATACTATCTACAGGTGTTAGTGTACTACTTACTGTTGTTAGTATACTATCTACAGGTGTTAGAATACTACTTTTAGGTGTTAGTATACTATCTACAAGTGTTAGTATACTAATTACAGGTGTTAGTATACTATCTACAGGTGTTAGTATACTACTTACAGGTGTTAGTATAATATTTACATGTGTTAGTATACTACTTGAAGGTTAGTATACTATCTACAGGTGTTAGTGCACTACTTACTGTTGTTAGTATACTATCTACAGGTTTTAGTATACTATCTACAGGTGTTAGTATGCTCTCTACAGGTGTTAGTATGCTATCTACAGGTGTTAGTATACTGTCTATAGGTGTTAGTGTACTACTTACTGTTGTTAGTATACTATCTACAGGTGTTAGTATACTATCTACAGGTGTTAGTGTACATTTACTGTTGTTAGTATACTATTCAAGGTGTTGTAGTATACTATCTACAGGTGTTAGTACACCTGTAGAGGTGTTAGTATACTATCAACAGGTGTTAGTATACCATCAACAGGTGTTAGTTTACTATCAAAAGGTGTTAGTATACTATCAACAGGTGTTAGTATACTATCAACAGGTGTTAGTATACTATCTCCAGGAGTTAGTATACTATCAACAGGCGTTAGTATACTATCAACAGGTCTTAGTATACTTTCAACAGGTGTTAGTATACTATCAACACGTGTTAGTATACTATCAACAGGTGTTAGTATACTATCAACAGGTGTTAGCATACTATCTCCAGGAGTTAGTATACTATCAACAGGTGTTAGTATACTATCAAAAGGTGTTAGTATACTATCTCCAGGAGTTAGTATACTATCAACAGGTGTTAGTATACTATCAACAGGTGTTAGTATACTATCAACAGGTATTAGTATACTATCAACAGGTGTTAGTATACTATCAACAGGTGTTAGTATACTATCTCCTGGAGTTAGTATACTATCAACAGGCGTTAGTATACTATCAACAGGTGTTAGTATACTATGAACAGGTGTTAGTATACTATGAACAGGTGTTAGTATACTATCAACAGGTGTTAGTATACTATCAACAGGTGTTAGTATACTATCAACAGGTGTTAGTATACCTTCAACAGGTGTTAGTATACTATCAACAGGTGCTAGTATACTATCAACAGGTGTTAGTATACTATGAACAGGTGTTAGTATACTATCAACAGGTGTTAGTATACTATCAACAGATGTTAGTATACTATCTCCAGGAGTTAGTATACTATCAACAGGTGTTAGTATACTATCAACAGGTGTTAGTATACTATCAACATGTGTTAGTATACTATCTGCAGGAGTTAGTATGGTATCATAAACGTAACATTTGTTAAATTATATTTATAGTGAGAGAGAGAGAGAGAGAGAGAGAGAGAGAGAGAGAGAGAGAGAGCTCACCTGCTGCCACAATATGGAAGACGCAGGGGTGTTGCTGTAGACCAATGGTGTTGTTTGCCCAGCACAACAGCGTCCCATAGTCCAGCTCATTCATAGGAGTGTAATTAACTCTTGACTCTGTCCCGGCCACAACGAACCTGTCAACATACACAATTTAGCTCCCCCGACGTTAATTTAACTCCCCCGACGTTAATTTAACTCCCCCGACGTTAATTTAGCTCCCGCGACGTCAATTAAGCTCCCCATACGTTAATTTATCTCCCCGTACGTTAATATAGCTCCCCGTACGTTAATTTAGCTCCCCCGACGTTAATTTATCTCCCCAAACGTTAATTTAGCTTCCCCTACGTTAATTTAGCTCCCCCGACGTTAATTTAGCTCCCTATACGTTACTTTAGCTCCACATACGTTAATTTCGCTCCATATACGTAAATTTAGCCCCTCATACATTAATTTAGCTCCCCATGCACAAAGTTTAGCTCCCCTCTAACACCCCACCATTCCAGCACACCCTTGAGTACCTTAGCACACCCCCAGCACCTCAGCACAGCCAGCCTCACCTGCCGTCGGGAACATCTATCGCCTCAGCCGTGTTGTTGAAGGTCCACCTGAACGTGACGTTGGCTGGGTTAGCGTGAACCCTGCAGGAGATCTCGGCGTTCTCCAGCTTGGCCACCGAGTGTTGAACTCTCTCCTGTCTGGCGCACACTGGGGCGTCTGTGGGAGGGGACGGCCGCTATTACACTACTGTTAGTCTACTGTTAGTCTACTGTTAGGGTACTTCTTGTAGTCTACTGTTAGGGTACTGTTAGGGTACTGTTAGTCTACTGTTAGTCTGCTGTTAGTCTATCGTTAGGGTACTGTTAGGGTACTGTTAGTCTACTGTTAGTCAACTGTTAGGGTACTGCTTATAGTCTACTGTTAGGGTACTGTTAGTCTACTGTTAGTCTACTGTTAGGGTACTCCTTATAGTCTACTGTTAGGGTACTGTTAGTCTACTGTTAGTCTACTGTTAGGGTACTGTTAGTACTTTAGTCTGTTAGTCAACTGTTAGGGTACTGCTTATAGTCTACTGTTAGGGTACTGTTAGTCTACTGTTAGTCTACTGTTAGGGTACTCCTTATAGTCTACTGTTAGGGTACTGTTAGTCTACTGTTAGTCTACTGTTAGGGTACTGCTTATAGTCAACTGTTAGGGTACTGTTAGTCTACTGTCAGTCTACTGTTAGGGTACTCCTTATAGTCTACTGTTAGGGTACTGTTAGTTTACTGTCAGTCTACTGTTAGGGTACTGCTTATAGTCTACTGTTAGGGTACTGTTAGTCTACTGTTAGGGTACTGCTTATAGTCTACTGTTAGGGTACTGTTAGTCTACTGTCAGTCTACTGTTAGGGTACTCCTTATAGTCTACTGTTAGGGTACTGTTAGTCTACTGTTAGTCTACTGTTAGGGTACTGTTAGTCTACCGTTAGGGTACTGTTAGGGTACTGTTAGACTAACAGTAGCAGTATCATATACCCAAGTTATGTGGGTGTGATGATGGGGCGAGTGGTAGCCCCTCCTCTTGCGGGTGGACATTAAGCAGGAGACCCACGACTGTGTGTGTGTGATCATGGATAGTGTTCATACAGCAGTCCTATCAATCAGAGACTTAATTCTATTTATTAACGAGTTCAATATGTCTTTATAACTTGCAAGACGGTGCACTTAGTGAAGGACTACGTGTTTACAATAGAAATAACTACAAGAGTAAACTATGTTAATATTTCCTTGTTTATTATCACCATGACTGAGAGGATCAAATAATCTTACATTTAACATAAGAGCAAAAAGTAAGGACTATTAACTGACACAATACAGTACTGATGACGTAACAGTTGTCGTACTTGTTAGTAAAGATAATATACGTCGCTGTAACTCATAACCAAAACCTGAAATAATGAACAAGATTTTCTTCAAGGGAGTAATAAATGAACTGGTTTATTTAAGGGTTATAAACTTGTCTATGTCAACATTATATAGAAATACATTTTTTTATTTTGCTGGAAGAGTTTCACCAGACACCTAAGATAATGTATACAGATAAATTCATTTGTTAAAAATTTTAGGTGGTTCTGTCTTGCATATTTTACCCAACAAATATTTTCAGTATGACAAAAATTTAATTAACGTTTTTTGATGAGTAATATGAACAATGCCCCAACACCAGTACAGTAAATATACCAGAGTGTGTCACTGTTCTAGTCAACATCATAAAAATATTTTAAGAAACAAGTACAGTAATAGTTGCTAACCTTGGCTCTAAACCTGTGTATATGGTTAATATTATTGGGCTAAATGACAAGGAATAATCTTTATCTTCAAGTTTAGACTTTAGAAAATACAGCAAATAGAAAATCGTGCACTGGTAAACAACTTGGATACAGTGTCCAGGCAGACGGGACTATACCTGGATGTTATATGTTTTGGTTTAGCCTCCAAGCCAATCTGTTAGTGTCTGCTGAAGCTTCCTCTTATGCATAGTCTATCAGGTATAGTAAACAGACTGGACTGTAAACACCACCACAATCCGTCACCACAAACATAAGCCACAAACCAACCTCTCAATAACACAGTGAGTCATACAGTACAGTACACTAACGAGGCGTCTTGTGGATGGCTGTCTCCTGTGTGTTGCTTCCTGAGTCTGTGATAACACATACAGTAGCTCACTGTCCTGGGTACACGTTATTTAAGATGCATCCTATACCAGTACAGTACAGTACAGTACAGTACAGTACAGTACAGTACAGTACAGTATAGTACAGTACAGTACAGTACAGTACAGTATAGTACAGTGCAGTACTTCCCACTTAAAAGGATTATTCTCATGTATCGTTCTCCATGCCAGGGTTTCACTTCACTTGTATAATGTGCGATATTTCAGCACCAAAATGTTGTATCATGATCTGCATCACACTATGTCCGAAAAAGAGATATAAGCACTCTTACTAGGTGCTCCGTGTGTGATGACTTTTGGGCCTGACAATATCTGAATCTTTTATTTAAATGACACAAACCGAGAAGGTGGATATTGATGTGCTGAAACGTTATTTATGCGGCCGTGATGGTGCCGGGAAAATAACTAAGAACAAAAAATGACTTAAGGAGGAAGGTCAACATTTAGTTTGGCCTCCCTCCCTACACGTCGAGGTGTAGTACAACAAGAAGTTAAATGTCTACACCTTACGTCATACACATTACACTTCCCTACTTACACTTTACGTCGAGGTGTAGGGGCGGGGAAGAGGAAGTGTCCTTAATGTTAGAAGCCTCACAAGTGTAGTCCCCGCCGTGGCCTCTGGTGACCCGCTGCACCACGAGAGACATGTTGGACACGAACACCCCGGCACCAGCCAACAGCTCCACCCCCTGCCAGGTTAGGTTAGGTTAAGGTCATACAACTTCTTACGAATATATTAAATCAAATCACAGAAATATTGCCTCTCTCTTCCCTTCTTCCTCCCTCTCCCTTTCTCTGCCTCTCGATATCTCCTTCCCTCCCACCCTTTCCTTCCCTTTCCTACCTCTCTCTACCTCTTCCTGGTTATCTCAATTTATCCATCTTCCTCCGTGTCCCTCCTACCTTCTCACCCCCCTTTCACTTTCTCCGTCTCCTCTGTTTCTCGTTCCATTCATCTTTTATTTGTCTCCCTGTATCTCCCTGTATCTCCCTGTATCTCCCTGTCCCTCACTATGTCTCTCTCTATCTTTCCCTGTGTCCAGCTGTCTCTTACTACGTCTCTGTCTCTCTCTGCATCTCCCTAATGTCTCCGCTGTAGTACTCACGTTGTGTCTCCAGGCTACCTTGAAGATAGGAGGCTTGGCATCCACCTGACACTCGAAGTACACGTCATCACCTTCCTTGATGCGCAGTGGGTCCAGAGACTTGCCCAGCAGGACCCTGACTTGTGGTGCGTCTGTGGGGTGGTGAGAGACCTTGTTAGTGAGAGAGAGAGAGAGAGAGAGAGAGAGAGAGAGAGAGGCCTTAATTTGAAATATAATATAATCAATCTAATCCCAACGACTATGTCCTTCTGCTAATTTTGCAAACAAAGGTGTGACCTGTTATGCTTTACCGTTGGTTGCTCACTGCCCAGTAACGATGGTGTGTGTGTGTGTGTGTGCGTGCGTGTGTGTGTGTGTGGTGTGTGTGTGTGTGTGTGTGTGTGTGTGTGTGGTAGTACAATATAATAGGGTCACTGTAGTGGTATCATAGAGCGGCTGTATTAGTCTGGTCCCGGGTAGTACAGTAGAGCCCCATTTAGCTTAATAAACTCGTGTAGTATTATAACAGAGGGCAGAGTTACTCACAGCTGACGGACAGGAGCCGAGAGTCTTGTACCGCTTGGTCAGGGAGTTTCTCATTGGTCGCCTGACAGATAAGCATGGCACCGTCATCCTGGGGCTTGGGAGTGAAGTGTAGTATGGAGATTGTCAGGTTGCCATCCTCCACCACCTGTAACACACTAGACTGTCAGGTAACCATCCTCCACCACCTGTAACACTGTTAGGTAACCACAACCGCATCCAGCCCATACGTGCACGAACTGTCGCTATAAGAACAGCCCAGTCCCAACCATTGTAAAATTATCAATAACATGTAATAAATCAGTGTATTCACTCCCAGTAAACACTGCTCTACACTGTCACTATGTTGAAATGAACTGTAGTTTGAGCTGATCCCCATCTAAGTTATTATATGTCTTATTTGTGTCACTTATGTCCTTGTATATTATTTGTAATTCGTAACCCATTCCCCAAATATGTAACTGTATATTTTCAGCCTTCCTGGCTGCCAAGCTCTTTCAATAAACCGTTAATTATTATTATTATTATTATTATCCTCCACCACCTGTAACACACTAGGCTGTCAGGTAACCATCCTCCACCACCTGTAACACTGTCAGGTAACCATCCTCCACCACCTGTAACACTGTCAGGTAACCATCCTCCACCACCTGTAACACACTAGCTGTCAGGTAACCATCCTCCCACCTGTAACACTGTCAGGTAACCATCCTCCACCACCTGTAACACTGTCAGGTAACCATCCTCCACCACACCTGTAACACTGTCAGGTAACCATCCACCACCACCTGTAACACTGTCAGGTAACCATCCCACCACCACCCCTATAACACTGTCAGGTAACCATCCCACCACCTGTAACACTGTCAGGTAACCATCCACCACCTGTAACACTGTAAGGTAACCATCCTCCAACCTGCTAACACTGTCAGGTAACCATCACCACCACCTGCTAACACTGTCAGGTAACATACCACCACCACCTGTAACACTGTCAGGTAACCATCCACCACCACCTGTAACACTGTCAGGTAACCATCCACCACCGTGTAACACACTAGACTGTCAGGTAACCATCCTCCACCACCTGTAACACTGTCAGGTAACCATCCACCACCACCTGTAACACTGTCAGGTAACCATCCACCACCACCTGTAACACTGTCAGGCAACCATCCTCCACCACCTGTAACACTGTCAGGTAACCATCCACCACCACCTGTAACACTGTCAGGTAACCATCCACCACCTGCTTAACACTGTCAGGTAACCATCCACCACCACCTGTAACACTGTCAGGTAACCATCACCAACACCTGTAACACTGTCAGGTAACCATCCTCCACCACCACCTGTAACACTGTCAGGTAACCATCCACCACCTGCCAACACTGTCAGGTAACCATCACCACCACCAGTAACACTGTCAGTAACCATCACTCACCACCTGTAACACTGTCAGGTAACCATCCACCACCTGCTGTCAGGTAACCATCCCCCACCACCTGTAACACTGACAGTCAACCATCCACCACCACATTGTAACACTGTCAGGTTACCATCCTCCACCACCACCTGTAACACTGTCAGGTAACCATCCACCACCACCTGTAACACTGATAGGTAACCATCCACCACCACCTGTAACACTGACAGAACGCATACTCCATCCACCACTGTAACACTGTCAGGTAACCATCCACCACCACCTGTAACACTGTCAGGTAACCATCCACCACCACCTGTAACACTGTCAGGTAACCATCCACCACCTGTAACACTGTCAGGTAACCATCCACCACCAATGTAACACACATGAGTAACCATCCCCACCTGTAACACTGTCAGGTAACCATCCACCACCACCTGTAACACTGTCAGGTAACCATCCTCCACCACCTGTAACACTGTCAGGAACCATCCCCCACCAACTGTAACACTGTCAGGTAACCATCCACCACCACCTGTAACACTGTCAGGTAACCATCCACCACCACCTGTAACACTGTCAGGTAACCATCCACCACCACCTGTAACACTGTCAGGTAACCATCCTCCACCACCTGTAACACTGTCAGGTAACCATCCACCACCACCACCTGTAACACTGTCAGGAAACCATCACACACACCTTAACACTGTCAGGTAACCATCCACCACCACCTGTAACACTGTCAGGTAACCATCCTCACCACCTACAGCTGTCAGGTAACCATCACCACCACCTGTAACACTGTCAGGTAACCATCCCCACCACCTGTAACCTGTCAGGTAACCATCCACCACCACCTGTAACACTGTCAGGTAACCATCCACCACCACCTGTACACCTTCAGGTAACCATCCTCCACCTGCAACTTCATCAGGTAACCATCCCACCACCTGTAACACTGACAGGTAACCATCCAACCACCTGCTGACAGGTAACCATCACCACCACCTGTAACACTGTCAGGTAACCATCCCCACCACCTGTAACACTGTCAGGTAACCATCCCACCACCTGTACACTGTCAGGTAACCATCCTCCACCACCACCACCTGTAACACTGTCAGGTAACCATCCACCACCACCTGTAACACTGTCAGGTAACCATCCACCACCACCTGTAACACTGGGTAACCATCCACCACCACCTGTAACTGTCAGGTAACCATCCTCCACCACCTGTAACACTGTCAGGTAACCATCCACCACCACCTGTAACACTGTTAGTAACCCATCCACCACCACCTGCAACACTGTCAGGTAACCATCCACACCTGTAACACTGTCAGTAACCATCCTCCACCACCTGTAACACTGTCAGGTAACCATCCACCACCACCTGCTGCACTGTCAGGTAACCATCACCACCACCTGTAACACTGTCAGGTAACCATCCACCACCACCTGTAACACTGTCAGTAACCATCCACCACCACCTGTAACACTGTCAGGTAACCATCCTCCACCCACCTAGCAACACTGTCAGGTAACCATCCACCACCACCTGTAACACTGTTCAGGTAACCATCCACCACCACCTGTAACACTGTCGGTAACCATCCCCACCACCACCTGTAACACTGTCAGGTAACCATCCACCACCACCTGCCTGTCAGGTAACCATCCCCCACCACCACACACTGTCAGGTAACCATCCCACCACCACCTGTAACACTGTCAGGCCATCCACCACCTGTAACACTGTCAGGCCATCACCACCTGTAACACTGTCAGGTAACCATCCACCACACCACCTGTAACACTGTCAGTTACCATCCACCACCTGTAACACTGTGTAACCATCATCCACCACCTGTAACACTGTCAGGTAACCATCCACCACCACCTGTAACACTGTCAGGCATCCCTCCCACCTGTCAGGTAACCATCACCACCACCTGCTAACACTGTCAGGTAACCATCCACCACCACCACCTTAACACTGTCAGTAACCATCCACCCTACCTGCTTAACACTGATAGGTAACTATCCACCACCTGTAACACTGTCAGGTAACCATCCCCCACCACCACCTATAACACTGTCAGGTAACCATCCACCACCACTTTGTCAGGTAACCATCCCACCACCACCTGTAACACTGATGTAACCATCCACCACCACCTGCTAAACACTGTCAGGTAACCATCCCCCACCACCACCTGTAACACTGTCAGGTAACCATCCACCACCACCTGTAACACTGTCAGAGTAACCACTCCACCCACCTGTAACATCCGATCCTCCACCACCTAACACTGTCAGGTACCATCCACCACCACCTGTAAGTGAATCAACCACGACACATAAAGTTACTTAATATATTTTCTTCAGAGTAAGAAACAGCCTGTGTGTGTGTGAGAGAGAGACTCACCTTGGTATGTGTGGGCGGCAGCATGACAGACCCAAGCCACCAGACGACAGTGGGCGGTGGGCGGGACCCCCATACCCTACACTTAACTTCCGCCTGTTCCTCCGCCCACACTGACGTCACCTCCTCCACCCGCACACCAACGATGCTCACTGTAAACAATGATGACGTAACTACCAGCAATAATGTGTACACTAACAATAACAATTGATATTAATGATGGTGGTGGTGATAGTGGTGGTTAGTGATGGTAGTTATGGTGGTGGTGGTAGTGGTGGTAGTGGTAATGGTGGTGATAGTGGTAGTGATGTAGCTGTGGGGTAGTGGTAGTGTATAATAATTGGTGGTGGTGATAGTGATGGTAGTTATGGTGGTGGTGAGTATGTTTAATGGTGGTGATAGTGGTGTGATGATTGGTGAAATTAGTGGTGGTAGATGATGTGGTGATGGTGGTGGTGGTGAGGTAGTGGTGGTGGTGATGGTGGTGGTTGGTGGTGGTTATGGTGGTGGTGGTAGTGATGAAGTGGTGATGTGTAGTGGTGATGGTGGTTGTGGTGGGGGTGAAGGTGGTGAGTGGTGTGAGTGTTAGTGATGGTGGTGATAGGTGGTGATGGTGGTGGTGGCTGTGGTGGTGGTGGTGGTGGTGATGGTTGTGGTGTGTGAGGTGGTTGTGGTGGTGTGGTGAGTGTTGTGGTGCTGGTGGTTGTGGTGGTGGTGGTGGTGGTAGTGGTGGTGGTGATGGCGGTGGTGGTGGTGGCTGTGGTGGTGGTGGTGAAGTGGTGATGGTTGGTAGTGATGGTGGTTGTGGTGGTGGTGGTGTGTGAAGAGTGATGTGGTGGTTGTGGTGGTGGTGGTGATGTGATGGTGGTGATGGTGGTGATGGTGGTGGTGGCTGTGGTGGTGGTGGTAGTGGTGATGGTTGTGGTAGTGATGGTAGTTGTGGTGTGTGGTAGTGATGGTAGTGATGTGGTAGTTGTGTGGTGGTGGTGATAGTGGTGATGGTTGTGGTGAAGTGATGGTAGTGTGGGGTGGTGGTAGTGTGATGGTTGTGTGGTGAGATGATGTGGTTGTGGTGGTGGTGGTAGTAGTGGTGTGAAGTAGTGGTGATAGTGGTGGTAGTGTGGTGGTGGTGGTGTGAAATGATGTGATGGTTGTGGTGGTGATGGTAGTTGTGGTGGTGGTGTAGTGTGGTGGTGGTAGTGGTGGTGATAGTGAATAGTTGTGGTGGGGTTGGTGGTTAGTGTGATGGTTGTGGTGGTGATGGTAGTTATGGTGGTGGTGGTAGTGGTGATGGTTGTGGTGTGATGGTAGTTGTGATAGTGGTAGTGATGGTAGTTATTGGTGGTGGTGGTAGTGGTGTTAATCACTCGTGTCATGGCCAGGGTGACAGTGGTGGTGGTGGTGGTAGTGGTGTTAATCACTCGTGTCATGGCCAGGGATGACAGTGGTGGTGGTGGTAGTGGTGTTAATCACTCACGTGTCGCCAGGGGTGACAGTGGTGGTGTTGGTGGTAGTGGTGTTAATCACTCACGTGTCATGGCCAGGGTGACAGTGGTGGTGTGTGGTGATGGTGGTGTTAATCCTCACGTGTCATGGCCAGGGTGACAGTGGTGGTGGTGGTGGTAGTGGTGTAATCACTCACGTGTCATGGCCAGGGTGACAGTGGTGGTGGTGGTAGTGGTGTTAATCACTCGTGTCATGCGGGGTGACAGTGGTGGTGGTGGTAGTGGTGTTAATCACTCGTGTCATGGCCAGGGTGACAGTGGTGGTGGTGGTAGTGGTGTTAATCACTCACGTGTCATGGCCAGGGTGACAGTGGTGGTGGTGGTAGTGGTGTTAATCACTCACGTGTCATGGCCAGGGTGACAGTGGTGGTGGCAGGTTGGGTCTGGTTGGTGTTGGAAGCGAGGCAGGACAGTCGACGCCCGAGGTCACCGCGCGTTAGAGGACCCAACTGGAGTTCGTTGACTACAGCAGCGCCGCCGTCATCCATCTGGTAGCCCTCGTCCACCACTTCATCTCCCTCGTACCACACCACGGCAGGCGGCGGCCACCCTGGAGGTTTGGTTAGGTTTGGTTAGGTTAGGTTAGGTTTATACTGAACCGGTGACGAATTCTTCTTGAACCAGCCATTACACAATGTAATTATAAAATATGTAATAAATTCAGAAAAATAAAACATTAAATTGGACGCCAAGGAATATAGAACTGAACCATGAGGCAATACAAAGAAAATGCTTACTAAGACTCATGAAATTCCAAACTGAATATCCTCTAGAATTTTGTGGAATCTGGTTCAGATTTAGGAAAAGCTGCTCCCACAAGTTCCTTTGTGTGAATTAGTGAGTGAGAGGTACAGTATTTGTTGTTTACACACGTCTGCTGGTAACAGTAGGCTGACCCAAACATTGTGAAAACTTCAACATCTGTCTAATCTACTTGTTTCATTGTTACTTGATGCACCTTTATTCTCTCTCTAAAGTCCAACAGTGACTCTGTGGTCTTTTGAGTGTGTTTGACGATATTAACCTGCAGCTGTGTGTCACGGGCGATATGATAGAGGTGTATAAATGGAAGTCAGGGCTAAACAAAGGGGACATTACAAAGGTACTCAAACTATCCAACCAGGAGCGAACTCATAACAATGGTTTTAAATTAGACAAATTTAGATTTAGGCGTGAGATAAGTAAACATTGGTTTAGAAATAGAGTAGTGGACAGATGGAACAAGTTACCAAGCATCATCATTAACTCGAATACGCTGGATAGCTTCAAACACAGGTTGGGTGGATATATCACCTTTGTTTAGCCTTGACTTCCATTTACACACCTCAATCATATCGCCCCTTACTCTACGTCTCTCGAGGGAGTGCAAATTAACCTGTCTCTGTAGTCAAGGTTCCTAATGCCCGGGATTAGTCTTGCTATTCTCCTCTTAATTCTTTCAGGATTCTATATCCATTCTGTAGTGCGGTGACCAGAACTGAACTACGTAATCCAAGTATGGTCTCACAAGCTTGGGGTCAACACAGTATACAGTGTGTAATGTAGTCTCCTAACTGGTGTTATGTGAACCTATCTAATAATTTTTATCTTATTTTTGTGTTTTATTCTAAATTAAACGTTTAAGTACTGTACATTATCACAGCTTGACTTACGAGAAATATTGATCGTAGGAACCTTTATGAGTTCCAGCAATGAGTACAGTGCTTCTCGTCCACAGAGGAGAGATTAACTTACCGTCATCGTTGCTGGAGTAGGGAAGTGGCAGCCTCCAGGAAGGGGCCCACTACTCTGTTGTTGACAGGCATCACACCAGAGTTACCAAGATGCCAGCTGACCCGAGCACGACTGGGCGGTACTGTTGAGGACAAATCAATGGGTGATGACGAGACCAACAGTAGTAATAATGAGGATTATAACAGAGATACTACTGTACTGCTACTACTACTACTACTTTTTTTTTTAAACGTGGCCTCCAGCCTCCCCCAATAGCCACACCTTCGCCGCCATTTTATTACCTTAATATTAAATATCCTAATACATAAGTAGCTATCCTATCTGTGTTGAATTAGTTGAGCCGCAGATCTATGCGGCATTCAGTGACTGTAGCCTCATAGTCAATATCTGCAGCAGTTGTCGGCATTGGGGCGAAGCTCCTCTACACAAAGCCGACCGGGAGAGAGAGAACAGTCGACTACTACTACTACTACTACTACTACTACTACTAATAATAATAATAATATGTGATCATGTTAGTTTTCAGCGGTGGCAACACGGGGTTTTAAAAGGCTCCCAGAAGAGCTTGGCGAACAACTTAACGAGAAGGTCAAGTCCCACAGTGAGGTTGAAGACCCTCTCAAGTGCACAGAATTTGAACATTACGCACCTAATTCCCAGACGCTCCCAGACACTCACAGACGCTCCCAAATATTCCCAGACACTCTCAGACATTCTCAGACACTCTCAGAAATTCCCAGACACTCCCAGACGCTCCCAGATATTCCCAGACACTCTCAGACATTCCCAGACACTCTCAGACGTTCCGATACCTCAGACACTGCCAGACACTGCCAGACACTCCCAGACGCTCCCAGATATTCCCAGACACTCTCAGACTTCCCAGACACTCTCAGACATTCCCAGACACTCTCAGACATTCCCACACACTCTCAGACATTCCCAGACACCTCAGACACTGCCAGACACTGCCAGACACTCCCAGATATTCCCAGACACTCTCAGACATTCCCAGACATTCCCAGACTCTCTAAGACACTCCCAGCCACTCTAAGACACTCCCAGACACTCTCAAATATTCCCAAACACTCCCAGATACTCCCAGACGCTCCCAGACGCTCCCAGACATTCCCAGACACTCTCAGACATTCCCAGACACTCCTCAACACTTCAGACACTCCCAGACGCTCCCAGATATTCCCAGACACCCTCAGACATTCCCAGACACTCCCAGACATTCCCAGACACTCTCAGACATTCCCAGACACTCTAAGACATTCCCAGACACTCTCAGACATTCCCAGACACTCTCAGACATTCCCAGACACTCTCAGACATTCCCAGACACTCTCAGACGCTCCCAGACAATCTTGACTCTCCCAGACATTCCCAGACACTCTCAGACATTCCCAAACACTCTCAGACATTCCCAGACACTCTCAGACGCTCCCAGACCATTACAGACGCTCCCAGACATTCCCAGACACTCTCAGACTTCCCAGACACTCTCAGACATTCCCAGACACTCTAAGACATTCCCAGACACTCTCAGACATTCCCAGACACTCTCCAGACATTCTCAGACGCTCCCCAGATAATCTTAGACTCTCCCAGACATTCCCCAGACACTCTCAGACATTCCCAGACACTCTAAGACATTCCCAGACACTCTCAGACGCTCCCAGACAATCTTAGACTCTCCCAGACATTCCCAGACACTCTCAGACATTCCCAGACACTCTCAGACGCTCCCAGACAATCTTAGACTCTCCCAGACATTTCCAGACACTCTCAGACATTCCCAGACCTCTCAGACATTCCCAGACACTCTCAGACATTCCCAGACACTTTTGACTCCTGGGGTGAAAAACTCTCAGACTTCTAAATTATTTGGTCACGAGACTCCTGAAGAAAACCAGGACTCAAGAGTCACAGTGAGTCAGGAGTCACAGTGAGTCAGGAGTCACAGTGAGTCAGAAGTCACAGTGAGTCAGGAGTCACACTGAGTCAGGAGTCACAGTGAGGTCAGAAGCAGTGGGTCAGGAGTCGTGAGTCAGGAGTCACAGTGAGTCAGGAGTCACAGTGAGTCAGGAGTCACCGGTCAGGAGTCACAGTGAGTCAGAAGTCACAGTGAGTCAGGAGTCAAAGTGAGTCAGGAGTCACAGTGAGTCAGGAGTCACAGTGGAGTCAGGAGTCACAGTGAGTCAGAAGTCAGTGAGTCAGAAGTCACAGTGAGTCAGGAGTCACAGTGAGTCAGGAGTCTGATGAGTCAGGAGTCAGAGTGAGTCAGGAGTCACAGTGAGTCAGAAGTCACAGTGAGTCAGGAGTCACAGTGAGTCAGAAGTCAGAGTGGAGTCAGGAGTCAAAGTGAGTCAGAAGTCACAGTGAGTCAGAAGTCACAGTGAGTCAGGAGTCACAGTGAGTCAGGAGTCAGATGAGTCAGGAGTCACAGTAAGTCAGGAGTCACAGTGAGTCAGGAGTCACAGTGAGTCAGGAGTCACAGTGAGTCAGGAGTCCTGGTAGACCAGGAGTCAAAGTGAGTCAGGAGTCACAGTGAGTCAGGAGTCACCTGAGTCAGGAGTCACAGTGAGTCAGGAGTCACACTGAGTCAGGAGTCACAGTGGAGTCAGGAGTCACAGTGAGTCAGGAGTCACAGTGGAGTCAGGAGTCACAGTGAGTCAAGTCACAGTGAGTCAGGAGTCCTGAGTAGTCAGAGTCACTGTTGAGTCAGGAGTCACAGTGAGTCAGGAGTCACAGTGAGTCAGGAGTCACAGTGAGTCAGGAGTCACAGTGAGTCAGGAGTCACAGTGAGTCAAGTCACAGTGAGTCCAGGAGTCACAGTGAGTCAGGAGTCACAGTGAGTCAGGAGTCTGCAGTGAGTCAGGAGTCACAGTGAGTCAGGAGTCACAGTGAGTCAGGAGTCAGGTGAGTCAGGAGTCACAGTGAGTCCAGAAGTCACAGTGAGTCAGAGTCACGATCAAAAGTCACAGTGAGTCAGAAGTCACAGTGAGTCCAGGAGTCACAGTGAGTCAGGAGTCACAGTGAGTCAGGAGTCACAGTGAGTCAAGAGTCACAGTGAGTCAGGAGTCACAGTGAGTCAGGAGTCACAGTGAGTCAGATCACAGTGAGTCAGAAGTCACAGTGAGTCAGAGTCACAGTGAGTCAGAAGTCACAGTGAGTCAGGAGTCACAGTGAGTCAGGAGTCACAGTCAGTCAGGATTCACAGTCAGTCAGGAGTCACAGTGAGTCAGAAATCACAGTGAGTCAGGAGTCACAGTGAGTCAGAAGTCACAGTGAGTCAGGAGTCACAGTGAGTCAGGAGTCACAGTGAGTCAGGAACAAAATGAGCTTCTAAGCTAACCTAACCTAACCAACTTTAACTTAACTTAAATTTAATCCAACTTTACTTAACTTAACCAAACCTAACCTAACCAAACTTAACGTCACCTAAACTAACGCCCAATCACAGTAGAGGGTTAAGAATGACGACCAATCACAGTCGAGGGCTAAGAATAGCCTCAGGAATGACAACCAATCAGATAACAAGAAAGACCTCAGCTGGTAGGAGATAAACAGGTGAACTGAAACAACCTCCACCCTCGTTAACACCATTAACAGGCAAGTCAGGAGAGGCCGTGTTTTTTTTGTTTTTTTTTTCATTATTTATTGGGCACTCCCCTACATCCTTGTGTAAGGTGAAGCGCAGAAGCGTTTACAGCGCCCTACAGGGAAGCATGCTAAGTTCATGCTTGCCTTTATGTCTCATGAGTCAAGGGCGTAGAAGCCTGAAGAGTCAAGGGTATAGAAGCCTGAAGA